CATATTAACAAATTTTCTGGTGATACTGACATTCTCTTAAGTTTGAGAACCACAGGTTCCATGCACTGAAATTCTCTCATGGGTCTGACCTGGGCTGTGGGCTATAACTTTGTTTCCTCTGGCCTAAAGCCCTGCCACCCAAAATGTACTCCATAGACCACGAGCAGCAGCATCCTCTGGGATCCTGTAGGAAACAGACACTCTCATTCAGGCCCACTGAATCAGAATCTGCATTTTTAACATACTCTGCAGCTGACTCCCATGCACATTCATGCTTGAGAAGCACTGTGTGGTAAGAAGAATTATGGCTTTCTAGAAGACCGCATGCCCTAATAACCCCTGGGACTGGGATTGTGAACACATTACTTTACATGGCAACAGCAACTTTGCAGGAGTAATCAAGGTTAGTGCTTTAGTCCATTAGGGCTGCTAACAAAATACTCTAAACTGGGTGGCTTATAAAGTGCAGAAATTTATTTCTCACAGTTCTGGAGGCTGGGAAGTCTAAGATCAAGGTGCCAGAAGACTCGGTGTTTGGTGAGGGCCCATTTTCTCATAGATGGTGCCTTCTAGCTATGTCCTCACATGGTAGAAGGGGTGCTGAGGCCCCTCCGGGGTCTCTTTTGTGGACCTACTCACCTCCCAAATACACCACTTCCTAATATCATCACCTTGGGGGTTAGGACTTCAACATTTAAATTCTGGGGGGACAAACATTCAAGAGCATAGCAGTTCCTCATGAGTCAACCTTCAAATAGATTATCCTGGATTATCTGGGTGAGCTCAAAGTAATCACATGAGCCCTTAAAAGTAGAGGCAGAGAAGGACTTCAGAAGGGAGAGGGGAGAACAAGATGACAGAGATCCCAGTCTGAGAAGGACTTGATGCTCTGTTGCTGGCTTGAAGATGGAGGGGCCACATGGCAAGCTTGTGAGGGGACTTAGGTAACCACACTAGGAGTTAAGTGTGACACCAACAGTCAGCAAGGAAGTGGGATCTCAGTCCTACAGCCACAAGGAACTGAATTCCACCCAAAACATCTGAATGAGCTTGGAAGCAATTCTTCCCCAAAGCCCCCAGAAAGGAATACAATCCTGCTGACTCCTTGATTTTGCCCTTGAGATCCTAGGCAGAGAACTGAGCTGGGTCACACTGCACCCAGATTTCCAACCCAGAGAAACTATGAAATAATAAATAGGTGTTGCCTTACGCCTCTAAATTATGGTCATTTGTTACTGCAGCAATAGAAAACTAACACATCTCATCTAAAGTTTACATCTATTGAACTATATTTCATCACCTCTGTAACCCAGAGTGCCAGACACATGGTGGACATTTGATAAGTACTGGCTGATCATAAAAAAGATAAGACTTGTTATCTGCAAAAATGCTTTGTACAGACTGTATTATGAATGTTAGGGATAAGTCTCACTCGTCTACACCAGGGTGTGTCTCATGCATCTTGCTGGTGAATCAGCTCCCATCTAATTAACTCTGAGTGAAGTAATAAAAACCTGTTTCCTGGACTCTTGTGCCCTTCAGAGAGGCCTGTACAGTCTGTAGACTCTTTTGCACGTTTTTCTTTTTTGGCAGACGGTGGTGGTGGTTTGATTTGATTCAGGAGGTATTGATTAAACATGGAAGAGGTGTCCTGCAGTGTGAAAGGCACTCTTTTGGGGCCACAGAAGCAGGCAAGGCAAGACCCCTCCTCCACTGGAACTCACAGTTGACCTCTCTTTCTAACTTTAATGTGTACTGTATCACCTGAGAACGGAAATATAAGGGCTGGCCATACTTGTTCCGAATGGACAATCTTCAAATACATAACAATGGTCAGGGGGAGGTGCAACTCCCCACTTTTTAGTTGAGGGCATTGCATGCTCACTGAATTCCAAAGAGGACAGTATGGAAAGAGGGGAAGAGAGGAAGATTACAGTAGAGAAACTTGACAAACACTGCCTCAGCCAGATGGCCCAGGTCAACAACAATAGTGATAACTCACCCTGATGGAATGTGCCCTTGATAAGATGTCTTTCTCTCTGGGGTTTCCCTCTGAAAAATCCATAACCCCAGTCTAATCATGAGAAAAACGTCAGGCATATTCCACTAGAGGGCCAGCCTACACAATGCTTGACCAGTACTCCTCAAAACTTTCAAGGTCACCCCAAATAAGGAAAGTCCGAGGAACCGCCTCCATCAAGTGGAGCCTAAGAGAAATGACGATGAAGTGTAATGTGATATTCTGGATGGGATCCAGTAGCAGAATAAGACACCAGGTACAAACTAAGGAACTCTTGCTATTTCTCAAAGAACTACAAATAGAGCTACCATTCGACCCAGTAATCCCATTACTGGGCATATACCCAAAGGAAACTAAATCATTCTACCCAAAAGACACCTGCACTCACATGTTCATTGCAGCACTATTCATAATAGCAAAGACATGGAATCAACAAAGGTGCCCATCAATGGTGCACTGGATAAAGAAAACGTGCTATGTATACACCATGGACTACTACGCAGCCACGAAAATGAATGAAATCATGTCCTTTGCTGTAACATGGATGCAGCTGGAGGCTATTATCCTAAGTGAATGAAAGTAGAAACAGAAAACCAAATACCCCATGTTCTCACGTGTAAGTGGGAGCTAATCACTGCGTACACATGGATATAAAGTTGGGAACAAGAGACACTGGGGACTCCAAAAGAGCAGGGAGAGAGAGAGGGAAGGAGGCAAGGGCTGAAAAGCTACCCATTGGGCCCTATGTTCACTATTTGGGTGACGGATTCAATTGAAGCCCAAACCTCAGCATCATGTGGTATATCCATGTAACAAACCCACACATAAACCCCGTGAATCTAAAACAAAAACAAAAACAAAACCCTAAGGAACTCCGAATAAGGTATGGATTTTAGCTCATAATAATGTATCAATATTGGTTCATTATTTATAACAAAGGTACCTAGTAATATAGCCTATTAATCATAGGGAAAAGTGAGTGAAGGGGTATATGGGAACTCTCTGTACTATCTTCTCAATTTTTCTGTAGATCTAAAACTGGGCCTAAAAAAATAAAATCTATTTAAAAAGTGTGGTGGTGCATGCCTATAGTCCCAGCTGCTTGGGAGGCCAAGGATTGCTTGAGCCCAGGAGCTCCAGGCCAGCCTAGGCAACACTGCGAGACCCTGTCTTTAAATTATTTTTTTTTTTAATTGGCTGGGCGT